GTGTCTTCCCTGGTGAGTTTAAGGACATAAGCCCTTTTCTTACGGTGTTACATTGATGGCTGGGGTCCTTCACCAGTTATCTCCACAGCTATCAGGCTGTCAAATGTGTCCAGCAAGTGACTGCCTCTGAAAAACAAAGGCAGTTTCCTTGTCTGCGTCTTAATGTGGAAGGGAGGAAAAATTAGATCTAGGAGAAACATGTGAGCCTGAACTGATGAGAAACTTGAAAAGGTTTTCTAATAACATCAGACATTGATGGCTGGGGTCCTTCACCAGTTATCTCCACAGCTATCAGGCTGTCAAATGTGTCCAGCAAGTGACTGCCTCTGAAAAACAAAGGCAGTTTCCTTGTCTGCGTCTTAATGTGGAAGGGAGGAAAAATTAGATCTAGGAGAAACATGTGAGCCTGAACTGATGAGAAACTTGAAAAGGTTTTCTAATAACATCAGATTAAAATATTCAGTCTACATGTTCTTCCTGTGGGTTCCATCATTTTCCTTCCTGAGGCTATGTCTACACTCGCAGCTTCTTGTGCAAGAACATCTTGCGCAAGGGTTCTTGTGCAAGAAGTCTTGCGCAAGAAAATGTACATACTGCCATGTGCCACTGTGCTTTTGCGCAAGAGCTCCCATGGCAGTGTGGACACTCTCTTGCGTAAGAAAGCTCCAACGGCCATTTTAGTCATAGGGCTTTCTTGCACAAGAAATCCCTGCCGAGCGTCAACACTGCCCTCTTGCACAAGAGCTCCTGCACAAGAGGGCTTACACCTGTTAAAAAAGAGTGTAGCTCTTGTGCAAGAAGCCCTCTCTTACCATGCCGTACTGTACATTTACTTGCGCAAGAGCGGGCGGGCAGTGTAAACGCTCTGCGGATTCTTGCGCAAGAACGGCCATACTTGCGCAAGAAGCCACGAGTGTAGACATAGCCTGAATGTGCTCATCAGCAAAGATAATTGTGTTGAAACATGGGCTTCCTTCAGCACGTCATTCCCTCCTTTCCCCCACCCATTCAGCCCTTCAATGAGGTCACAGTGCCAAACCTGTGCCATCACCGCCATTTCGTGGTGTGTAGTGGTGTCTTGAGCCCAGGATTACAATGTTCCTACAGGATCCTAGAGGAGCATCAATTATCTGCATTGATGGTAAAAAGAACATAGACAAACACAGAGCTGTTATTGGTTTGTTTTTTTAAATCTTGGTATAAATTAGCCCTGGTCTACACTACAGCAAAAGGGTGCCAAGGCATCCTACGTCAACCTAACTCTGTAAGTATTGTACACTGAAATGTCATTCCCATCAGCATAACTCACCCAATATGCTGACTTAATAATTGTACCTCCACTTGGACTGATGTCGTGAGTTCGACGCAGTGTCAAACATTGTGTTGCTTACATTAACATTACATTGCTTATGTCTGAAAGCTGCTGGATCTTCCATGGCCAGTAAATTGGCCTCTCCATGCCCCATGCTGACAGTTAAATCAATACAAACACTTCTGATGAGGACCTGCACAGGAGACACAAGGAGCATAGCAGGGACACGCACAAGCAGTTGTTGTATCATGCAAGCAAGGTAGTAACACACTTCCACAGGCCTTTATTTAACAAAGGTGAAACCTCTTTACAAAGCTGCTGCTGCTCCCCTCTGTAGCTCTCACTCAGGCCTGGCCCGTCTCCTCCCCCCTCCTTCCTGTTTCCTGTGCTTCCAGACTCCCAACAGCCAGTGCTCCCAATTCTAATAATTACTAGCAGCATCTAAAACACCACAGCAATCTAATGACTGCAGCGATTGTGTGTTGTCCAATCTTGGATTGATGCAATTCTGAAGCGTAGACGTAGCCTCAGAGGTGGACCTGAACCACAAGGTCTCAGAGGGGTTGCCATGTTAGTCTGTAACTTTAAAAACAGTGAGCTGTCCTGTGGTACCTTAGTGACTAACCAAAACATATAGTATCATGAACTGTTGTGGGCAAAACTCTTTTCTTTCTTTGCCCGCAAATGCTCATGATACTACAGGCAGTCCCCGGGTTACGTACAAGATAGGGACTGTAGGTTTGTTCTTAAGTTGAATTTGTATGTAAGTCGGAACTGGTACATATTGTAGGGGAAACTCTAGCCAAACATTTCTCCAGAGCTCAGTTTTATTCTCCCACACCTCACTTCCCTCAGGGTAAGAAAAGCCGCTCCGCGTCTCCCTGGTCTGCTGGGGGGGGTGCTAGCTTCGCGTCTCCCTGGTCTGCTGGGGGGAAGCAGCTAGTGTGGAGTTGCCTCACCCCGTTTGTAAGTAGGGATCCGATGTAAGTCGGATCCATGTAACCCGGGGACTGCCTGTATATATTTTTGTTAGTTTCTATGATGTTCCAGGACCACTAGTTGTTTCTGAACCACAGGTCCCTTGTCTGGACTCAGATCCATGTTTCTCCAAACTTTAGGCAGTTCAGAGCTATTTGACAGAGATGGGCTTGAGACACCAAGCTTTGTTCTGGCTCCAAACTTCCCCAAAACTAGAGTGGCTTTGGATAGGATGCCCCAGTTTGGGACCAGATCACTTCTCCATAAAACACCCAACCAGGTCTAGTAATGCTGAGGAATGACACTTCATTCTATTCCAAGATGGGATCTCACCCTCTCCAGCAGCAATCTGGTGCAGAGCTTATTGCATCTTTTTGGAGTTTGTCTCCTGAAACCGACATCCTCTGAAATACACTAAAACTATTTTTTCCCCAGTGTCACTACAGGATCTCTGTAGGCCATGTGAATTCATTGAGATGTCAGTACTTGAACAATGAGGCTCTTCTCTCCAAGATCCTGGCTTGGTATACACCTACATATAACGTCAGATTGTGCTGGGATTGGGGGTGAGATGAGAGTGGTCCACCTACACATAATTCAGAAGTCCTTTCACTTTCTCCTTATGCTTCTCATTAGTCCCACATTTCTACAGCAAAAAGGGGGCACTGCTTTCTGTTAATTTCCTTCAAGTAATTGTCAGACGTTAATGCACCCTTTCTTGGAGTAGTCAAGCCACTGGCAATGGCTTTGGTGCACTTACAACTATGGGAGACAGTGCACTAGAGAATGTAATGTAGGAAGAAAATCCTGCAATGACGGGAATGGACAAAATGATCTAAACAGTAATTTCCATCTTTAATTTCTATGACTTTTTGCTCTTTCAAGGTCAGGCTGTTTCTGAACAGGGTTAACTTTGCAGCTAGAGACAGAGTAACTTATTGATTGTGGGCAAATATTCACTAGGGCCTATGTCAAGGCCATCTAATTCTTAGGCGCAGGCCTCCATAAGGGAAGATATAATCCAAGAGTCACCAGCTGTTGCCCCCTACACTTCTCCTCTAACTGATCAGCGGGCAATAGTCTAACACAACACCATTTTTCTCTCCTCCAGCCACCATCATCTGGTCGACAGTCCCCAACTAAGAGCTTGGTGAATGGAAGCCCTTCTAAGTGCCCACGGTTTGCCAAGGTCAAGAACTGGGAGACTGGTTCAGTGCTTCACGATACCTTACATCTCCAGACAGCCATGGTGAGTGGGTCTGAGTTCAGATCAGTGTCTCTGAGCCTGATTGAACTGGGAGAATTAAAGTTGTTTGGATACACTGAGCCCCATCGTGTATGCTGCCAAGGTGTCTTCAGTGAGCTGCTCCGTCTTGGATGAATGAATCAAAGAGAGGCAATTGAGCTCTTTTGAAATGTCACCTGCTAGTGCAGCATAAGGGCAGGTTATCTCAGAGTTCTCTGTCCTTGGCAATAGCAGTAAACAAGATGGCTTGTTAGGTAGACTTCTTGGCTGATGTGTTGTAGATTCTGCAGGGAAATGTTGCAGAGGTGCTTATCCCTAGAGCTGGGGAAGGTAAAGTTTAAGGCAGTGTTTCTCAACCTTTTTTCTAATAAATTACCCCTTTTTCAAAAAAAAAAAATTATAAGGACCCCCCAGTACCTACAGTTTTCAGACACACAAACATTTTTCTACCATTGCAACATAATTGTTTAAACAACTTAACCGTAGTTGGGTTGGCAATGAAATGTTTGGGTGTAAAAAGTACAAAAATAATAAAGCGCTCTAAAACTTAAAACCAAAATTCAGTTTTCTCCAAATTTCAGTTGTGTTGACGTACCCTCCAGACTTCTCTCGAGTATCCCTAAGGGTACTTGTACCACTGGTTGAGAAACACTGGTTTAAGGGACGTAAGACATGGAGGTGGGCATTGGAACGAAGGTGTTTGCCTACTGCTGGCAAAAAGGAGGACACAGATGCTGGGGATAAGAGCTTGTTCCCTCCGTGAATGGCATGGAGACCAACTTGGGGGAGAGCAGGCAAACATAGCACTAGAACAAAGATTGAGGTTGGATTCATGAATCTCACTTGTCTGAACCACAGTGGTAGGCCAGGCACGGTGAGGGACCTCCCTGAGTTACATGCCTGAGCTCAGTGCCTTCACACCCCCACCTCCCCAAAAATGCACACACGAAAGCAAACACACTGGGAATGCCAGTACTTATGGCAGACCCATTTCATCAGCATTTGTGCAGCCTACCTCATTGGCCACGCCAGCATACGCAGTGGTGCACCCAATAATCTAAGGTCATATGTGGCCCTTCCATCCTTGCAGGCCAGTGCGTGTACAGAGCAGATCTGCATGGGCTCCATAATGACGCCCACCCAGCATATCCGGAAGCCAGAAGACACCCGGACAAAAGAGCAGCTGCTCTCCCTGGCTAAGGACTTCTTTGATCAATACTACTCTTCCATAAAGAGGCAAGTCATCTGGCACTCACAGGTGGTGCTGCTAGGGGGCTGTTAACATGAGTTACATGATGCAATAAAATACCTTTGACTTGTTACCATCAACGCTGGATGCCAATTCAGATATGGTGGTTTCTTAAGCTGTCATAGATAAGAAGGAAAGTCCTCTCGTAAGTTAAGTGGTCAAAAGACAGGAAACAAAGGGTCAAAATAAATGGTCAGTCTTCAAAATAGAGAAAGGTAACTAGTGGTGTCCTACAGGGGTCCATACCGAGACCAATCCTATTCAACATACTCATAAACGCTCTGCAGAAAGGGGTGAAAAATGAAGTGGGAAAGTTTGCAGAGGATACAAAATGGCTCGAGACAGCTCAAGATAGTTATGTCCAAAGTACACTGTGAAGAGTTCCAAAAGGATCTCATGAAACTAGGTAAGTAGGAGACAAATGGCAAATGACTTTTAATGTTGATAAATGCAAAGTAATGCATATTGGAAAAAATAATCTCAACTACGCATACAAAATGATGTGGACTAATTTAGTTATAGTCACTCGAGAGAGATCTTGGAGTCATTGTGGATAGTTCTCTGAAAACATCCACTCAGTGTGCAGAGGCAGTCAAAAAAGCAAATAGCATGTTAGGAATCATTAAAAAGGGGATAGAGACTAAGACAGAGAACATCTTACAGTCTCAATATAAAACCACGGTTCACCCACAGCTTGAATACTACATACAGATGTGGTTGCCTCTTCTAAAAAAAAGATATATTGGCATTAGAACAGGTTCAGAAAAGGGCAAAAAATGATTAGGGATTTGGAACAGGTTCCATATGAAGAGGGATTAAAAAGACTGGGACTTTTCAGCTTAGAAAAGATGCAACTAAGGGGGGGACATAGTAGAGGTCTATAAAATCATGACTGGTTTGGAGAATGTAAATAGGAAAAGTTATTTACTTGTTTCCATAACACAAGCACTAGGCATCATGAAATGAAATTAATAGATCGGAGGTTTAAAACAAACAAAAGGGAAGTTTTTCTTCACATAGTGCACAGTCAACCCGTGGAACTCCTTGCTAGAGGATGTTGTACAGGGCAGGACTATCACAAGGTTCAAAAAAGAATTAAATAAATTCATGGAGGTTAGGTCCATCAGTGACTATTAGCCAGGATGATCAGGAACTAGCCTCTGTTTGTCTGAAGCTGGGAATGGGCAACAGAAGATAGATCACTTGATGATTCCCTGTTCTATTCATTTCCTCTGGGGCACCTGGCATTGGCCGCTGTTGGCAGACAGGATCCTTGGCTAGATGGATCTTTGGTCTGACCCAGTACAGCCGTTCTTATGTTTTTATATGATTTGAGTAAACTGCAGAGCTCAAGGTTAGCCAATAGTCATGGCTAGCTCTGTATGGACTAGATGAACATGGACCCAGGGGCCATGTTGTTTAAAATCTGTGCTCCCCTCAAAAGAATATAGGATGGCAGATGTGCATTTATGGGTTCATAAATGTGCTACTGTGTGTCGGACAGCCTTGTGCTGGCTGTGGTCTGCATGAGTGCTCAGTGTGTGAGAATCTGGCTAGGAACACAAACAGGTGTACATGCACACAAGCATGTGCTCTGCCTGGAGACTCTCATGCACACGGGCAGCCACAGAGAATCCCCTGCACGGAATTCTATCCTGCAATATAGCACCTCCAGAATTTTACCCGGGGCTCCACAATTATCATGCCTGGTCCAGCATTACCTCCAGCTGGCATGTGCATGTGTGTACATATACCGGGACCAGGCAGGTAACTTGAGCACACACAGTGCCTCACACTCCCATCCGGAGTCGGTCACTTCTCCTTTCTCCACCCTCATAGGTTTGGCTCCAAGGCCCACGTGGAGGGGCTGGAAGAAGTGACCAAGGAAATT